ATATTGAGTCCACCATGCATGGATTTTACTGCTTGGATGTGTAGCCTCCGTATTTATGACTTATATTCCTATATTATGATATGCTTTGATGGTTGAACTTTAAGTTATAAATTGGGTACTGATCACTATTATCGAGCCAAGCATCTCATAATTTGAAAATTAGTTCTACCCTGTTACTTAGTACTTACATAATTATGAGGTCACATAGAATCTAAGTTACCATCTAAGTAACTTTGGATAATTAAGTAGTAGCTCATTTTTTGTTGTCTTAGAGTACATATTCCCCCCCCCCCCCACAAAAAAAATTGAGATATGGAAGAAAATAAATATAAAGATAAGGGTAGTGTAAAAGTGTTCATTTTTACTATATTTGGTAAAAGAAATATCGAGTATTTTGTGGTTCTAGAGTATCGAAAATATTTTCCTGAGTCATCGATTACATAAGAAATAAGAGTAGAATGAGATTTAAGTTGAGGTGGAATGTTAAATCTCTTATAATCTTATAAAGAATTAAACTAAATAAGATTGTAATTTCTGATTTTAGATTATTAATTTTTACCTTATAGTTGACAGTTTTTTACCACTATAACTTTTAATTAATAAAAAATTATCATGTTGCCTCTATTTATAAACTATTAAAAAAATTTGACATTTTCACCAAACATAACACTAATATGTTCATGTTTGACCGTTGACTACATAATTACCCGAGTATGACCCATTTACGCAAGTATATGTCACGAATTATTAGTTTTCTTACATAATTTGAGTTTTTACCTGGGTATACAGTTAAATACCCGGGTAATCATTGGCCAAAAATCTCAATATCAGTGGATTTCGGCCTCTTTGATCATTTATACGTTTTGTACCCCCAAACCTCCCTCCTTTTTCATCTCTATTCTGAGCCATGAAGATTGTATTTCATCCCATTATCTTATTATCTTGTGAAACCATTGGCATTACACCTACATATTCCTATTTTTTTCTCAAAAATCTGAACCAAACCCAAAACCTAGACCCAATTTCGTGTGAAAGATGAGTTCAAGTTCAAATATGTATCCTATAGTTATTTACCACAATGGGAGGCAATTCTAAGGTCCCAATGGTGTTCGATTTGAAGGAAAAACAAAAACAATGAAAATCAAAGTGAGCACTACCTACAATGGACTAAAGGAGAGAATTCATTAAAAATTATGGTTACAAGGCAGCCAATCCATTCAGCGCATGTTAGCCAGGTTAGAGACTGTAGTTGATATGGATGCAATATACTACATTGGTAATGATATCAATGATGATGAAGATGTGGAGTTTGTCACATATGCATTTGTTGAGTGGAAAGTATTTAAAATTTATTGAGATATATGTTGAAGTTGATGTTGGTCACTCTTCATCTTTGCTGACGCATACAAGCACTCCATAGTGTCATGGTCAATAAGATATAGTTGTCGGTTTATCTACACCTTCTTAGGTGTTAAGTAAGATAACAATGGATGAAGGTGAGGAGGATGAGGAGAAGGAAGATGTGGACAACGAAGAAGATGGAGAACCTGAAAGTGTTATTCCACAAGGTGATTCATCAAATACCGACGTGGAGGGTAATTTTGGCACTGACACGAATACGATAAGCCTGGGTTTCCCGGCCATGTCACCACGTCATGTTAACCCAATTAATATTGGTAAGTTATTAAATTTTAATTTGTACTGAACATTTAATATTTGCGTTGCTATTGCTTCTAATAAAACAAACCATGCTTTAGATGTAGGGATTGAGAGAGCCATTTTGGAATGAAAGTCAACATTATTCATTCATTAATTGGGCACACCCTAATGATGAGTTGGAGATGATCTATGGTGACGATGACTTGCACAGAGGTTGAAAATTAGGGGATCCATTATTTGTGCAACAAGAATTTGGTTCCAAATCTGAAATGCAACATGTCGTTAAATTACGTTGTATGAAGGGACGTAAGACAATTATAGTAAAAAAAAACGACGAGCATATATTTGTGATTAAGTGTCGAAACCATGCTGACGATTGTCCTTGGTATATGAAGGCAACCAAACCAATGAATAGAAATAATTGGGTGTTCGTAAGTGGGGCCAAGATCACACTTGCCTGAATTAGGATCTTGCCCAAGATCATAGACAACTGTATTCAGAAGTTATGTGTGTAGCCATTATGAGTATATATTGTATAATGTGTTATTACATACGTTACGTTTATGTTATTTATTTATTGAAAAAAATTTATTGACAATATTTTGAACTTGCTTTGTTTTTTATAGATATGTTAAAAGAAGATCCAACCTTAAAACCAGTTCTGATACAAGAAAGGACACAACACATATATGGACACAAAATAACATACAAGAAGGCTTGGAAGGAAAAAATGAAGGCGATTGTGAAGTTATATGGTGACTAGGAGAAATCATATGCATTCTTGCCCAATTGGTTGACGTACATGACACATGTGAATGTGGGTTCTGTGTTATACATGTCAAGTTATACATGGATGTCATGACATGATCAACTGTCCATCCACCCTCAAGAGATGGATGAGGTGGTAGTGGCCGGAGGCGGGCGGGACCGTGCAGGTGCATCAGCAGCTACACCAGTATCATCATCATCATCATCAAGGCCTGCATCCACAGGAAGAATATTAAATATTAAAATTTTGTTAGGTTAAATACACAGACTAAATATTAAACATCACAAATATCACCTGCAACTGCATCCTCCATCTCATCATCGTGGTAAAGAGGGACTTCAGGTGGTTCAGGTACTTTCTTCCAATATCAGACACCCGCGTGAATCTGCATAATCCCACACTGCTTAAGTCGACGCTCACCAAATATGACATTCCATCTTGTGGCAGTCTTCGGCGTCTCAGTTTGCATAGGCACACCAAACCTATGGAAAATCTTCTGCACTAGGAGTGCATAGGGCAATTCAGCCTTCCTAGACTTTGAAGCCTTCCACATCAGGAAACATATGTAGTGCCTCCAGTTTACCTTAATATGGTGAAGGATGGCCCAAAAAACAACAAAGTCACCTTCCAGAACCTTCGAGTGACTATGCCCATTGCTGGAAAATAATACGTGTCATAACATAGTGTAATATGCAGGCGGGCACCGAAAGATTGCTCAGAAGATAATGAGCAAAATGACCAGCCTTTGCATCAACCCTCATGGTCTCCACGACAATTTCCTCTCGATCATAACAACCAAAAATATGATGGGAGTCTCCGTCATACATGGTGGTTTCTGGTATATCATCAAAGTCAAAGCCGAGAAGCTCCGTCCAGATAGGGGAAGTCAGGACAATATCAATCCCGCAGACACGGGAAGTCATCTCGCCATGTAGGTAGTGGAGGTTCTGGTAGAAAGCCCTCATCATAACCTCAAAAATTAGGTACTTCATATCCGGAAGCACCAGGAGATGTGTCTCATCAAGAAGTGGCACAATGTTGAACCGCTCCATGTTAAAGAACGCCTAATCCAGTGATTTCGACTCATATATTTTGCGGCTCATGAAAGACTTCACAAACCTATCGAGTGCTGCAATGTCATTCTAAAATAAATAGCCAAAAAGTATGTTAGGAGCCTCATGAACAACTAGATGATGAGGACCCGTCATGTTGACGCTTGGTCCGACGCTCGGTTGCCACCCCTTGCTTCGAACCATGTCTGTTAGCCTTTTTTTTTTTAACAATTTCAAAATGAAAAAACACAAATGCACCTGTATTAATATCAATCCAAATATAATTAACACTCAAAGATAAAACATCACTTCGAGGACAGAGAATTTAAAGTCACTCTCAAGAATCATAAATTGAATTAGCAAACAGTCCAAGCACTAGCTATCGAGCGAAATGTAATCAATGATTAAATGATATTTGGGCAGTTGAAAGACACCCACAAACGAAAATCAAAATTTGGGTTAGTGTTCATAAAAAATTAAAACCTAAAAAAAAAACCTTTTTTCGTTTTCAATCGGTTGAAGTCAGAAACAGTGGTGGACGAAAGATGATCATAGAGGAAGAAACTTGTCTAAAGAGTGTGGTGAAGGAATCAGTGATTTTGCCTTTTTCGCAGCTCTACCCAGGTATCATTTGTTGTTTTACAAAAATGGAGGCTGCTCGGTTTAAAAAAAAACCTACCCGCGAAATATACCCGAGTATCCCCTTCCTTATCCGGGTAAATAATTCAAACTTTTTTTCAAATTATGAACACTACCTGAGTAGCCCACCTACGTGCTCGAGTAGTTGTTTTTTTTTTCTCGAAAGATACCTGCTTATCCTCCTATGTATCCGGGTATTTTACGGGATCTAGGATCAAACAAGAGCATATAACTTTATAGATATTTTTATTGATCAGTAAGGGTAATGACACTAATTTTGAATTTTGTATCAAAAAGAATATTCATTTAATAATCCATTTTTTCAAAAAAAAATGGATTATTAAATTTGATTATGAATCAATTTAAATAGATATAAAAATTATCAAATAGATATAAAAATTATATTTATATAGATTCATAAAATCAAAAATTAGATGCTAAAAAAAAAGGATATGTTTTGGTGAAAAGATGAAATGATAATTTTTTATTAATTAAAGGTTAAAGTGGTAAAAAAAAACTATAGTTGACACCCTTACTCTAATTTGAGTTGTAACCCTATAGATACTTCATTGGACATTGCGCAGAAGTGCACAACTGTGCTTTATAGCACCATTATGATTTTTTTACTCTAATTTAAATCATCACTGTTAAGGACATTCCATTGGAGTATCAACGTCAGTGGTATAAAGAGGGTAACACAATTTGGTCCTTTGGTTTACCCTTGCTGTGTGGAAATCCTACCAAACCAAAAATCACGTGTACCCTTGTGTGGAATTAAGCCTTAAATTGCTGCATCATCACCTCATGCTTTATAACTTGGCATGACTTCCACATTCTTTATCACAGATTCCTTATACTCTCTACCCCTTGTTCTCTCTCTCTCTCTCTCTCTCTCCCTTCCTCTTTGGTAAGACAAGATAGTTCTAACCAACATGGTGCAATCAAAGAAATTTAGAGGTGTCAGGCAACGCCATTGGGGCTCGTGGGTTTCTGAGATTCGTCATCCATTATTGTATTCTCATCAAACTCAACTCACTAAAGATTTTCATTTACTTGTTTGTTTCACTTCTCCCAAAAATTTAGAAAAGTACTTATGCTTGTGTACACTCCTAGCCCCATGATTCTATTAATTGATCTTGAGATGTTACTTGAATTCATTGTAGCATGTGAATTAACAAGTTCATTTTTTTATGGGATTACTTGGCCAAATAAAAATATGCATTGAATGTGAAAATCTTATTTTGCAAATTGTGGTGTTTGGATAGGAAAAGGAGGGTGTGGCTTGGGACATTTGAGACAGCTGAAGAAGCAGCTAGAGCATATGATGAGGCAGCGATTTTGATGAGTGGAAGAAATGCAAAAACAAACTTCCCAGTTGCTGATAACACAACGAGGAATCAAAGTTCAACATCCTCTTCCACAACATTATCTGCAGTTCTCAGTGCAAAGCTTAGGAAGTGCTGCAAATCCCCATCACCTTCCCTCACATGTTTAAGGCTTGACACTGAGAATTCACACTTTGGGGTGTGGCAAAAGCGAGCTGGTCCTCGTTCTGACTCAAACTGGATCATGATGGTTGAGTTGGAAAGGAAGAAAATGGGACCTTCTGATTCAGAATCACCAGTTCTTGATGCACCAGAGAAGGTAAAACCAGAGGAAGTGAATGGCTTAGATGAGGAGCAGAGGATTGCTCTGCAGATGATAGAGGAACTTCTGAATAGGAATTAAGCTCAGTGTGCTTTTGTTTTTCACGTGGGGCTATCATTCAAGGAATTTCAAGTCCCATGTATAGTCCCTTTCAACTTGTTTGGTTTGTTTGTTTGTCTGTCCCAAGTGGAATAGGAGAGTGCTACATTCATTTCCTTAACTACTTACAGTGGTTGTGAATGTTTCCCAACTATGTGTAACTACTTACACTGTTGTTGTTACTGTTCATGTCCTCTGTAAAACCTATTCGGTTGTTACTTCCTAGAAATTATGCTAGTGTTCCATTCCATTCCATGCACAAAATCTATTATTAGTGATTTCAATGAAGAAGAAATTTTTATGAATTCATATATGGACATTGTGTTACACGCATTTCACCTTTGTTTTATTTGATTTATACAATAAAAAATTATAGTGAAATGTTGTCTGACTCACATTAGTGTTTCATGAAATTAGTTTTGTGGTAACAAGCATTTTATTACTTTTTTTTGTCTCTTTCCCGCGAAAAACTTGGTCTATACTACCACGATGCAGATATCATTGAGATAAATAAAAAGTTTCCTACAAAGGTAAAAAAAAAATTTTAAAAAAAAAACTCAGAAGAGAGAACTTTTACAATTCCTAATATTCCTATCCTTTGCAAGCCTTGAGTTTGAGTGTTCATCCCACAGGAAATGATACCCAAAGTCGTCAGACCTCTCACAAATAAGAAAGCACAATAAAAAAGAGAAAAACTCCATTTGCATATAATGCTATATAATTTTTTTTAAAGAAGAAAGAAGCGTTCTTTTAAAGGACACAAGCTTAGGTAACTTATGTTCTTTTAATAGTTTTTAATTATGTATTTCTGAAAATGCATAGTTAAAACTGTTAAAAGGACATAACTTATATCCTTTAAACGGATACTCACTAAATCTATTTTTTAAATGTTATCTTTTGATATAATCCTCTTTATAATTAATAAGAAAGTATTAAATAAAAAACTAAATGCAAATTTCTTTCATTTGATATCTCAAGCTTCTCATAATTTCATAAAAATCACAAGATTCATGTTGATTGAATACCTTACTTTTATGATATCTCCACACAATCTTCTTCAACTACCTTATTTTTTGAGAACATTGGAGGGAGGGTGAGATTAATTCCACTTCGAGAAGAAAATGGTTTCCCTCTAGTCTCCAAAAAATTTCAAAATTTTGCTTTGTTCAACATTTGAACCCTTCACCAAAACAAATCCTTGAACACTCAATTGCCAATTGAGCTACTCTTCGGAGTTCAGTGTTAACATTTTTATTTATAACTATTTGCATGAGTTCTAAAGGTGGGAGGACGAGTAGTATTTATGACTTCATGAATAGATTTCAGCAAACTAGCAAATAGCAACTATTTTTAGTTTTTTTTTTTCTTTTTCAGTTTTTCATTTTAGAGATTTGTTTATTTTAGATGATTTGCATATTTAGTTTTCCTTCTTCTTTTCAAATGACGTATGCAAGCGGATAATATTTTAAACAACTGAAGTATTTAATGGGAATTATGATTTAAACCATTACTTATACCTCGGTGGGAGACTCTTGAAAAAAGTAAGCTCCGTAAACAGATATAAATTCGCCTGCTTGTCTACTTTTAGTTTAAATACATAGTAATATTAGACATTTTTAAAAAATTTCAAAATTTCAAATATGTTTATTATTTATTTAATAATTTTAATTTTTAAGTCATTAATATATTTCAGGCACATGTTATCGATACCCGTAAACTGAAATTAATAAGTAGAGGTCTATATGAAAGCTTTTATATTTCCATCACATCAAAGATCAAACAACGTGTTGAAGCATGCACGCCAAGGTATTTAGGCATATGATTTGCTGAAATCAAAGAAACATTGCTAATTTAAGTACAAAATAGCAAGACATAATGCTAATTTTGTTGACTATATATGACAGGGCATGGATTCTATAATAAGCTCTCAAGCTATATTTTGTGACAAACGAAGTTTGCATATTTAATTGATACTGACAGATGAAAGGGTTCATGATTTGGACTCATAAGTGATATTGACGGGCCAAAGGTTCATCATCTAGCTGGATAATCAATTTTCAATGCTTATTGAAGATTTCTGCCGACAAATAAAATTAGAGTCAAAATACGTGATTTATGACTAAGAAGATTTTAAAATCTAGTTTGTTTTTAAATGAAGTTTTTTTAGGGAGGTGATTAAAAATTATTAGTTGATTTTATGCATTTCAGCATCTCGAAATTTTTATCAAAATTCTACCAGAAAAGAAAATTATAAACAAATGTTTTTTTTTTTTTTTTTGAAGCATGAAGAAGAGTTTAAATTGGTAATATTTTCAGATCTTTATTAAAATTCTTAATCCAATGCTAAAAAAAGTTTAAGAAAGATGCATATAAGCAAAAAGAACAATTTAATGCTTTAAGTGTGTAACGTGATGTTGTTGGTGTAGGGTATATTGATACTATATAAATACGAGGCGACATGGTTCACGTATTGAATTAATGGGATGACGTTGAAGCTTGAAATAAAGGAAAATGGAAAAGCAACTCATCTGCATTCTATAAAGGGTGTAATATTGAAACATCCCGTCCTTGAATGAATTTTGGAGTAACAAACTCCATGTGGTAGAGATTTATAGGTTCTTTAGGTTATGTCATATTGGCATTTGTGTCTCTAACAAGAACATGGATGATTTAATTGACTTCAAGAGAGTGAGGACTATGCATGCAGCTTCTAATTGCTTTGTCTCATTGTGTGAGCTGTTCTCCATATGATAACGTTGAAGAGATATTTAACATTTTTTTTTTTGAAGTCTATGGGAAAGATGTGGATTTAAGTACACAAGTGAAGTGAGGCTCTATGTCTATGGATCTTTCATAATTAAGTACACGTTCAACGTACCAGCGGTGTTAAATGTTATCTATTTATATTTGAGTATTTCTTCTCTTGTTTAACCTTTTTTAGCTTGCACTTATTATCATTGGACAATGAATTCTAGTTATTACTCCGGAAACTAATCGTAAGATTGAGTGGTTGATAATTTTAAAAACTTATCCATAGCGTCCAGCAGGTGTATTAGAACAAAAGCTATAAGTAGAAAGTTTAAATTTAATATAGAGTGAGTGTACAATCTTCCATAGATCTTGTGGAGTTCATTTTGTTGGGACCTTTGTTCCTCGAATCAGCGCGGAAGCGAATAAGTAGGTATATCTAGTTCGTAGCTCAGGACTATCAGGTTGGCCTGAAGTTACCGGGTCAACCAATCACGCAACAAAAACGAGCAAATGCAGAAGTGAGAGAGACAGAAAAATAAGTCAAATTTTAACTTGAAAAATCTTCTTCAATGTGAAGAAGTAAAAATTATGGGACACTAGTCAAAAAAAATCTTTCATTATGTATAATAGAAAGATTACAAAGGGTTTAAATTCCTTAATTATACTAGAGGTACAATCAAGTTTCACAAAAAATGATGATGTCAAACGTCTTTAAAGAAATCTCATTCAAACTTCTTTATAGAAATATTCAAATTCTTCAACTGATCTCTAACCTCTAAAAACATTACAATGGTTGTTTATATAAGTGAGGAGAGAAACATCTACAATATAGAAGCTAGATAGCATTCTCGAGCCACTGAAAAAAGCTGTCACCTGGCATTGAAGTAAAAAATGCTCCCCAACGAACAAATTTTGGGTGCTCTAGTAAAATGTACATCCCTTTTAAAATTGGGTTTTAGAAGAAAATAAAGGTAAAAGTGTTGGTTTAGATGTGTTAAAAAATTTCCTTTTTAGAAAAAGGGGAGTGTTCAATTGAATCAATTCGATACTCTCGTAGCACTTAAAAAAAATCCCTCCCTAACACATTTTACATCTGTACAAGGAGTAGTTCTGTGTAAAAATGATTTTAAGTACAAAATAACCACAAAAGATTCAAATCGGAAGTTACCTTGTTGAATTTTTTTGACAATTTACATGTCTTTAAGTTTATAAATAATGTAATAATACATTATTAAATGTTAATATAAATTTGTTACTTTCATGCGTTAAAAATAAATTGTTAACTATACTGGCACTGCAAGATTATTAAAATCTCAATATAGATGGCAGAATCGCAAAGTCCTAGCATTTAACGGGATAATTCACAAAGTCAATTATGTGACTTTCCTCCCATCACAAAGTCAATTACTCTTTTGGTTTATTCTAGAATTACGTCGTCTTAACTTTTTTTTATCATTTATCTTTTCTGTAGTTTTTTTTCCGTCTAATTCCGTCTAGATTATAAATGAAAATATACTTAAAAATATTCTTCTATCATGGAATCTAACTTTTTTTTTTTTTTTTAATTTTTAATGATTTAAGTTTTAGCTTCTTAAGAATATAAAATGCTTGGTGTTTGGAAACGAGACTTGATCGATGAGGGAAAAGTACATAATGCTTCATTTACTCTTTACTGGATAAATATAAAGATCAGAAGGAAGAAAGGTAAGTGGTGAAAAATTTAGAAGGAAGTGATTATAGAGTAAACTAAGAAAATTTTAACTTTATATCAAAACACTTGGATTAATTGGTATTAGGTTATTCCAACTTAACCAATAATTTTAAATTTAAGATCTAAATATGCAGCTATATTAAAATTGATATACAGGTGAAGAAATATGCTAAGATAATTTAAACTTTACCCTAATTTTTTTTATTCCACCCTTATATTAATATCAACATGAAAATAAATCATTTCATGTGTTATTTAATATTATCATGTGATATAGAAGGATCCTAACTATTTATGGGCAAGTCAACGGTGATACAAAATGAAAGAAAAAAATTATTATTATTAAGAGGGCGTTTGGTACGCGGCATTTTTTCAGATTCTCAGGTAACTGAATTTTTTAAAATTTTAAATTTTTGGATATTATCATAAACTGAATGTAAAAATCATATTTTTGAAAATCGAGATTCTCGGACAAAAAAAATTTTATCCTGTACCAAACGACGTCGCGTTAATCTACTCTTTAAATTTTTTCTCATGACATTATTACGTTAATTAACAGGTGGGAGATTGCACTCACGTGTCAACATATTTGTTTAAAAAGAGAAGTAATAAAGAAAGGTGTTATAAATCTCAGAATTCAAATTTTCTTACATACATTTTGATTTTTGTGCTGGGTTTTACATATAATTTTTTCTAATACATGAGTCCCACATACTTTTTATCTCTACAACATGAGAATTGAATTCTCATTTAACTCCCAAAATTGAATATACCCACTAAAGTAAAATATGAGGACATTTAAGTAATTAAGCATCAGAACCATTGAAGTGGGAGGAGGTACGTCTTCAACAAGAAGAAGAAAGGCACAAAAAGAGAAAGAGAGAGAGAGAGAAACGCAGAGAAAAGAAGATGATACTTGCGGTGCTGTTTGCCAACGCCGAGGGCAATATCCTAATCGAACGGTGCGTTTAGATCTATCTATTCTTCAGTTATACCAGAACCAGATCTATTTCTCTAATTTTCTTCCAATAGCCCAAAAGCGATCTAAAAATTGGATTTTACTGATCGAATCCGGTTATTTTTTATTGTATCCGAATTGGGTTTGGCTTAGATTTTGATGGGTTGGGGTAGTTAGTAGTAGGCATACATAGTTGTTGCTTTCTGGAAAAATTTGAAGGAGGAGCTTTCATAAGTACAACATTAAGCTTAATTAATCAATTATAGGTAATTAATTATGAGTTTTGCTTTGCATATGTTTTTGTTTGATTGGGGTATTTGGACAACTATAAGTATAAACCCTTTTGTTAATGCTGTCATGGTGACTTAGATTTATGGTTTACATGATTGCAGTTTTCATGGAGTTCCTGCAGAGGAGCGCCTACATTGGCGTTCTTTCTTGGTTAAACTTGGAGCTGATAATCTTAAAGGTGTCAAAAACGAAGAGCTCCTAGTTGCTTGCCACAAGTTAGTATACTCCTCTCTCATGTCATGTTTCTCATGCCTTGAAATGTGATGTATCTATGTATGCCTATATGAATTGCCTTATCTAATAGCACTGTGGCATAGTTTCTGAAACTGCCAGGTAGCATTGAACCTTGTTTCGTACTAGGAATGTAGCTGACAAGCCACATGGCCCTTTTATTTGAACTCATGTCAATGAAAACTGTGAATAAAGATTAACAAACTGAATAATATAAGTTACTAGAATGGACATGACATTTGGGAAAAACAGCATTTTCAGATGTTGTAGTTGGTAAAGGGAGTATTGGAAATGAATTGTAGAAGAGGAAGCTAAATGGCTATACTACCACACTTGCAAACTTAGTCCATGATGTTTAGCAGTTTTTAGCAACTAGAATCGTCATTCATTATAATCAGAAGTTTGACTTGAAACAAGTCTCTCTAGAATTTTATCTTGTTTCACTACCAACTGTTCATTCATATTCTTTGTTCTACATAATTGTTTCTCTCGTTCTTATATGATGTTATAGTATTTTAATTTTTACTTGTACATTTTCTCTGTCAGGTCAGTTTATATTGTGTACACTGTGCTTGGGGATGTCAGCATCTATGTTGTGGGCAAGGACGAGTATGATGAACTTGCCTGTATGTATTCACGGAATCAATATTTTATACCTGTTAATAGTAATAAAAGTATAGAAATGAGTCATCTCAGCTGTTGATGCTTAACAGGGGAAAATATCACTCGTTTTTAGATTGAAGTGCTGGCTGAGGAGAAGGGGATATTTGGATAATGTGAATGGAACTACTAGCCCTTTTTTATCTTGACATGAATATGCTTAACTGATCACAAAAGTGACTAGTCATCTTCATTTAGGTTGCTAAGTAAAGAGGCATACACATAGTTGTATGTGCATAAGAAATATAAGATTATTTCCGATATAAAGAAAACATGAAAAGTAATAATCATGGGAGTAATGAGAAAAAGTAATGGAGATAATGGTGGAGTAAAATAAGGGTTGGGGAGATAGAGAATTGAATGTAATTTATTATTGAAAAACTGAATTTCAATTTTATATTTTTTTATATAACTCTGTAGTTTTTATTAGTTTGCCTAATAAACATTAAGATAAGATGAGATCATAATTTTGGGAGCAAAATGTAAAGGCTGAAATCTCTCCCTCTCCTCTATTTTAATAGTAGAGCTACTAGCTATTACAGGGAATTATGACATTACTTTTCAGGAATGGAATAATAAGAAAAAGTAGCAGTCTAGTTAACTGGTAAGGGACAGATCTTGGTTTCTATAGTTAGTGGATGCTTTTATCTGGCTTACCAACAAAAAAGAAGAATAGAAATATTAAAGGAAAAAGGGTTATTATTTTTTTTTTTAATGACATGTGATGGCATCGGCCTTTTTAACTTTATGCTTTATTTCACCAAGGGCTGGAAAATGTATGTTATCAACAGCTGCTGAGTACTTTACAATTTACATTTCTACTGTTGCTCATCAATGTTTTGTTTTTCTCCAGTGTCAGAAGTGATATTTGTGATAACCTCTGCTGTGAAGGATGTATGTGGGAAGCCCCCATCTGAGCGCGTTTTCCTTGACAAGTATGGAAGAATTTGCTTGTGTTTGGATGAAATTGTATGGAAGGTGAGGAGGCATGCAGAACAGTTTGAGTTACTCTAAATAATGAGAACTGGAGTTTTTAATTTTTTTTGTCAGTTTACTCAATCCTCTTGCCACTGAAACTCATCAATTAAAGACTTTCATGTGATATATGTCATCATACACAATTAGGCGTTGCTCATCCAGTTATATAAATATTATGATTGATGTCATCTGTTTTGTGTGAGGCCCATTAGTTAGACATTATCTTCTGCTATGCGTGTGATGGTTGCCTTAAATGGCTTTTTGATCCCTTGCAATTGAGAGGAACAATGAGGGTATGTTTCTACCAAATGCAGGGTATAATAATCCCCTTGTATGCCCTTAATTATGTACTGCCTTTGTTCTAATAATACTCTATCTTAATAAAACGTAAGTATTTGTTTTAAGTCAATCAAGGAAAAACTTTGCATCCGCACTAGATACTTGAATCCTTTTTTAACCTGTTTGCTACATTCATCACTAATCACTAGTCCAAATTTATTCAACTTCTTTGTTCCATTATTTTACAGAGCATTTTCTTCTTGATGCTTTTCTTGACATTTCCCTGTGTATGTTTTGAAGGGATATTTGGAAAATACAGAAAAAGATAGAATCAAAAGACTGATAAGGTTAAAGCCTCCAACAGAGTTTTGAATGAGAAGTTCCGAGCCACTCGTAGTTCAATGACTAGTCTGAGTCGTGTGTTGACAGTGGCATCTTGTAAATGGGTATGGGCTAGCAGTTGAAGTTTGTGCTGGATATCTGAGCTTTGCTACGACTGTCATTCAGGATAAGGCTTTTCCCCCTATTCTATATCTAGTATAGGGAAGGATTATCTTGTGCGAATATTTGTATTAAAATCTTCTCAACTTTTAACACTTGTATTTTGTAGCATTTTAAAAGGATGTCCCTGATTCTGAGTTGTATAATGTGCCTATTTTTTCACTTGCATATTGTTTGCTATATGCCAATCATGTTTCTATTCGATACATATTTTATGGAATGATTGTCATATTTGGTTAAAAATTTCATTTCATTCCAATACCATTTCACAAAATTAGGAATTAAGCATGAAGTCTTATGTAAGAATGAAATTGAAATTCTATGCTCAATCCAATGTGATTTAATTTTATTTTCTCAACTCATCCTCATTGGTCTTATTGTTATCTTTTATGGCTTTAATGCTTCTATACTGAATGTAGATAAGTTATTTACATTCACTTACAAAATGACGTCGTTTTGGATTGAAAGATTAAAAAATTATAATGATAAAGAATGTTATAACCTTAGAATAAATTATAATTATAAAAATACCTTGATTTCCGTCTTAAAATGACGTCGTTTTGAATTCAATGCAGAAGATAATTTATCTGTATTCATCTCAGAAAAAATGATCTCATATTTTATTAAATATAATTATTGACAAGTTAAAAAAAAAGGAATAACATTACTGTAAGTAAGGTTATCTTCAGTGGCTCTCGAAACTATACCGTTTCATGTTTAAAAAAAAAAATAAAAACAATTAATTTGCTCTCTAATTGGGGTTATTTTGTACATTGAACATGTCACATTGTAAGAAGTATTTCGATTAATGGCTTCAATGTTTAAAAAATTACAGACTCATTCTGCAGAAACATTATTGTGCAGCTTGTTCCATTTCTTGACTTCTTAAGATGATTGTATAATTTGATGGGTTTTGTTATATAACATGAAAATGGATACATCACATTACATAGACATGTTTTTGTAGGACCCACCAAATATTAGAAAAAAAAAATAAAAAAAAAACTTGCACAGAAAACGATCTGAGAGCTGGAGGAAACAAATATTTCACGTAACATAACGTTTGTTTTTCCCTAATTTGATTAGAAGAAAGAGGTAGTGGGACATTATCATTTACTTGCTGGCTATGAGCAAAGTTAACCTTCCCAAATTTGGGATTCTCTCCACTAATACATGGAAAATTAGTGCGTTGAAATTCCAAACCTCTTGCTAGTTGCTGGAAAGGGACATAAAGTGATTTTTTTTTTAATCTGTTAGGTTGTAATAAAAGATATTTTTATTTATTTCATTTTTAAAATAATTATCCTGCTTAACGTGATCAATCCCACACGTTGATAATATGGAATAAGTTTTGTACATCAACTATGTGCCATTAAAAGTCCCGCATGACAAACATACGAGATTCTTTAAATCTCGCGTTACAAATGAACGGGAATATAGGAGTTCGAATTAGAGGTGTTAATGGCCGACCCGGAACAAACTTTGATATTAAAAGGTTAAAAACTTTGATATTAAAAGGTTAAGTCCGTATTTAAATGTATTAGTCTAACTTAGTCTGTTACCTATTATAAATATAACTACCGACTTGTGACATGATTTAATTACAAAAAATAAAAGTCAGATTTAGTCTATTAAAAAAAATAAGACAACAAAAATTTATCTAAACAGAATATACAATCAACATCACTAATAATTTCATAAAGATTCATAAATTAAATGTATATCCAAACAACATAACATAGAACAAAATCATTCAAAAAGTCTGTTAAACCAATAAAATGAGTTGAGGAGAGAGATGAGTCTATTATAAGTAGTATAAAAAATATAAAATATAAATGAAAGTTAGTATACTAGGCCAATCTTAGAGGCTTTAAAACTGAACTTTTAAATTGGAAACTGAGTCCTTTTTATTAAATGAGCTTTTATACAAGTTCAAACCTGATTCTAATAACCAATTTTAAACATATAAGTTCAGGCCTTCAAGAGTCGCGCCAAAGACCCTGATTCGTTTACCACCCTACTTAAAATCTCCTGTGTTTAATGTTTAAGGTTTAATGTGCATACTAACTTAAGAGCTTGTTTGTCACATCTCTTTTTTAAGATAAAATTTACTTTTAAGATAAATCTAAAAAAAACTTTATAATAAAATTAAAAGTAGTTTGATAATTATATAAAAATTTTAACTTAAAAATTATTTAAAAACTAAAATAAAAAATAAGTTGATATAACTTAAAAAAACTCCTCGTAAAAGTTTTTTACTTTCGACTTTTTTTTTATTATCAAAAAAACTTTTTTATTATAAAAGTTTTTATAAAAATTTATTTGCTTAACTTCTGCTTAGAAGAGAAGCTAAAAAAAAATCTCCTAAATAAGTAACTAAATAACTAACTTTGATATATGTCCTGTACGATTAATGTGGAAAATTGACTTTATTAATTTGAAAATTGAAAAAGTCTAACATAACCTTGTCCAAAGTTAAGGGAAGTTACCAAAGTAATAAACTTATCATTAATTTTTATGTGTTGATCTATATCTAAAATTTTCGCAACATCCTAAAGCATGGAGCATTCCAAAAGCATGATAGACTCCCAATTTAGTATTTTGTTATATATATAATTTTAATTTTTATGGGACTTAATTTAATTTTTTTAAACATTACAAATTAACAATGTTGAGCATACTGTTCCAGGGTTGAAAATGAAAGGGCATTTTCGTCCATTCATTAGTTGCGCACGCTATATCTTCTCGCTCACTCTGAGCCATTTCTCGCTGTTTGTGTTGATAAAACCCAGAACCAGATCTAGGGTTTATTCTTGAAGGTCTTCGCGTGTTCAAAGGTCAGCTGTTAATACTATCAACTCTCTCTCTCTCTCTCTCTCTCTCTCTCTCCCTCTCTCTCCTGTTCTATTCTGTTCAACCAATTCAATTCAATTCACTCTTTCTAAATCTCACCAACTGAAACTGGAAAAAAAAACCCTAACCCTAACCTCGTCTATTAGGAATAGAAATAGCATGGGTGAGTTAAAGGACACCGAGGCTTACGAGGAAGAGCTCATCGACTACGAAGAAGAAGATGAAAAGTCTACCGACCCTTCCAAACCCGCTGTTGAAATCGCCAAGAAGTTAGTTTCTTTTCTCTTTTATCTTTATCCACTTTCTTTTTTCTTTCTAAAATGTAATTTATGATATGATATGACCCTGTATATAATTAGAAATATTGAAGATAGGAGGATACTGTATCTATATACTGATACAAGTATCAGTGTTTCATAGGCGTGCTAGTTATAAGAGCTGTTTTTAATTGTCATGCTGTATTCTGAGAATATGTTTTCTTTTCCGAGTGTTGGAAAGGATCTTGTGTGCTGTTTATGCTATATATTTATTAGTGTTTGGCCGTAAGGTTCTTATGATCTCTCTGACATTCTCTTCACGATTAAATTTTTTGTTTGATTAGGTTCTCAAGCCAAGCTTTTACCCCTCCTTATTTTGTGTGTATGTTTTCTTTTGTGTTGCAGGGGTTATGTTGGCATCCATAGTTCAGGATTTCGAGACTTCCTGTTGAAACCGGAGCTTCTTCGAGCCATTGTTGATTCGGGATTTGAGCATCCTTCAGAAGGCAAGTTTTAGCATACGATGTCATTGCTTGGCTCAATATAAGCTGAGCATCAATTGAATTCTATAAACTTGTCATGTCTTGGGCTTTGACTAATTTGTCTTTTTCTTTCTAGTATACTAGATTGCCTTCTTTTCTTTGTTCTCAGATCATGCCATTGCCCATGCTATTTATGATCCTTATATTTTGTCATTTCCATTACCTTTCCCAATATATTTTACACTACACTAAGTTTGTTGGACTAATTTTTCATTGTTTTCTTAAGGCTATCTTTATTACGAGTGTTATTTTTGAGGGGGAGGGTTGACTTATTGATCATCTGATGATTTAGTCATGTTATGATTTATCACATCCCTCTACTATAGAATTATTACCCTGAAGATAAACTTTATCAATGAACATATGCATGCTTTCTTGCTTGTTTATCTCCTATGTTCTCATGTATCTCAGTTTCCTTTCTTTATTATGATTCTTCTGTATTCTCAAATTGCAATTTATTTTTTCTGAATTTATCAGGTAATCACTACTATCATATTATGAATATGTCACGAAAATTGGTTGGTAAACCTTTCCATTAAAAGGATCTGGCAGATCATATATACTTATTGAGGATTCGTCCACTACAATTTTGTTTGCTTCTTCATTAGTGCAACATGAGTGCATCCCTCAAGCAATTTTAGGAATGGATGTCATTTGCCAAGCAAAATCTGGGATGGGAAAGACTGCTGTTTTTGTTCTTTCAACACTCCAGCAAATTGATCCTGTTCCTGGTCAAGTTGCGGCTCTTGTTCTTTGTCACACAAGAGAACTAGCTTATCAAGTATGTCTGCATTAATATGGATGTTATATATCTGAACTGTTATGCTAGTGCAATATGTTTGCTAATCTTTTGATCTTGATTCCACTAACTTATAAGTATGCATGTGTTTACTTATCAAAAGCTCCATTTCTTTTCTGAACTTGTCCAGATTTGCCACGAATTTGAGAGGTTCAGCACATATCTTCCTGATATAAAAGTTGCTGTTTTCTATGGTGGTGTCAATGCCAAGGTTCACAAAGAATTGCTCAAGAATGAATGTCCCCATATTGTTGTTGGAACACCTGGGAGGATTCTTGCTCTTGCCAGAGAGAAGGACCTTGGTTTAAAGAATGTGAGGCATTTTATACTTGATGAGTGCGACAAGATGCTCGAATCACTTGGTCTCTCTCTTCCTCCTCTCTGTAAATTTTTCTTTATGTGTGTGTGGCTTTGAATTTACAATCTATGTGATATTTTATTCTGCTTTTCTTATTTCGTAACGTATCTGGTGTTTGACCTTCTGCAGACATGAGAAGAGATGTGCAAGAGATTTTCAAATTGACTCCCCATGATAAGCAAGTGATGATGTTTTCTGCTACACTCAATAAAGAAATCCGACCTGTTTGCAAGAAATTCATGCAAGATGTAATATTATATTTATGTGGTGATTTTTGATTGCATATGGGAGGATGGTTTTTATCGTTCCTCTTATCTTATTGTTCATGTTGCTGTTATTGTTGCCCTTTTTTATTGAATGTCATCAAATGGCTATTATTTTTTATAACATTTTTGTTGGTTTTGTGTGGTTATATGTTTTATAAATTTTGAATTTTTGGCCCATTTTAAAATGTTATTGCAAATGTTCTGTTTTATAAATCAAAATAACTGAAATTTATATATTTGATTCTTTAATGAAGGTTATCCTTATCATCTTAATCTTTTCCTTTCAGCCCATGGAAATTTATGTAGATGATGAGGCCAAATTGACTCTTCATGGTCTTGTGCAGGTGTGTTTTGTTGACATTTTCCACTCTTGCATTGATTTTTTTGAAAAAGTTTGGTCTACTAGCTTATTTCTACTCATCTTTCACCTTTTTCAGCACTACATCAAATTGCAAGAAACAGAGAAGAACCGGAAATTGAATGATCTTCTTGATGCACTGGACTTCAACCAAGTGGTTATTTTTGTCAAGAGTGTCAGCAGAGCAGCGGAGTTGAACAAGTTGCTTGTGGAGTGTAACTTCCCATCAATCTGCATACATTCTGGAATGTATCAGGAAGAAAGGTATTTGTTAGTTCTTTTGAAATTGATGGCATGTACATCAGTCTTCATGTATTCTTAATGCTTTAAGCTGAATTTGGACTTGCTAGCCTTGTCTATCTAAACTTTTGCTGAGCCTTCTACGATGTTTCTGTATGTTCAACATTCTATTAAAGTGTGATTCTGTTGTTAACCATCATTTTTCAAATTTTTGTGAATTTTGTAAAGACATTTTGTTACATATTTCTTCTAGTGGTTGTGTGTGTGTGTGTGCTTATATATGTTAAAGTGTGATTCTGTTGTTAACAATCATTTTTCCGGTTTTTGGGAATTTTATAAAGACATTTTGTTACATTCTTCTTCTAGTGGTTGTGTGCGCGCGCTTTTATATATATATATATATATATATATATATATATAAATATAATTATGTCTCTCTGTTCAAGGGGAGGGGATTGCTTATCATTTCTTTTTTGCATGAGTAATATGGGGTTACAACCAAAATATTCAGTATTCTTGGATCCTATGATACGAAATCATCTATTAGATTCTTTTGAAAGCCAATCCAATCTATGGTGTCATTTCTGTGATTTTTAACACGAAATTATCCTAAGACTCCAGACTGAAATCTTCTGTCTCCTTCCCTCTTCCTCCCATTGAATAATGACAACTCAGGTAAAAAAAATTCTCTCTTAATCGGCAATAAGATCTCTGTTATTGGTCAGTCTTTCAAAATTTTAAACTATCTTCCAGCTGCCTGAACTTCTAGATCCTTTGTGATATTTTACCTGTAAAGAACTGTCAAAATGTGCATGTCATTGGCTCAGTAAAAAAAATCTGTCTGGCTGATATTTTAATAAGTGGCAATCCAAAGTAGTGTTGGGCAAATTTGGCATTACTTCTGGGCTGAAATCAGGTCACCTGATTACTTTTGGCTGGTCTGATCTAATTATTATTATTATTATTCACAACCCAGGAATGGTCCACAGTTCATTCAGACATATTTTAATGATTTTTGCAGGGACTTGGACTTTTTATCTTGTAATTGTAGTCAAATTATTATTTTTCCTGACAAGATGCCATTTGCCTGTTTCAGATTGAAAAGATACAAGGGCTTCAAAGAGGGGAAGCAAAGGATTCTCGTGGCAACAGATTTAGTAGGAAGAGGGATTGACATAGAACGTGTTAATATAGTTGTCAACTATGACATGCCTGATTCCGCTGATACTTACCTGCACAGGGTGAGTGCTTGATCCAATATCATTAGTTTTATTATTTATTTTAAATATGGTTTCTGGCATGTGGTTATGGTATGCTTACATGCTTGTAACTGACCTCTGTTCCCACCATCTTTAAAGGTTTCATTTACATTTGAATTGGTAGGTGGGAAGAGCTGGTAGATTTGGCACCAAGGGGCTTGCGATTACTTTTGTGTCTTCCACTGCTGACTCTGAAATTCTAAATCAGGTTAGGTTCACTTACATGGATATTTAGGAACTTTTATTTTTTACTGTCAATGAAAAGGAAGGAGTAATAAAAACGACCTTTTTTCAATTCAATTTTAACAAATATCTGAACTCTGATTTCAGGTGCAATCTAGGTTTGAGGTTGATATAAAGGAGCTTCCTGAACAAATTGACACTTCCACATATAGTAAGATGATTTTCCTCTCTGCTTACTAGTTTAGGACTTAAATCATTCGAGTAGATGCACAAAGTTTATCTGAACTGAAAGTATGATGTTTGCATGTAATACTTTCAAACACTTTTTGAGACATTAACTGATGCAGAAAAGGTTTAGTTTATTAATACGTCTTAATTGAGATGCTTTGTTGTTTCTAATTATTGGTTTTATCTTGATCATAAATGTAACATCTTTTTATTTTCTGCAGTGCCAAACTGATGAAGTTTTGGGACAATTAAGAGGCGGAATCACCTATGGGGATGGATTAGCTGGCATCTCATCAATTCGAGTGTTTTGACAGATAATTATTTAACAAAAAATATTATTCTAAGGAAGATTGACCAATCTGAATGTTTGCCGGCGAGACTCACGAGAACTGATTTATATTAGTAGTTAGCGTGCAGAGGAAAGATTGTAAATAATTAGGCGTCAAAAGGACAGTATCCACTGCATTTCTACTTTTGAAACCAATCACATATTCTCTGGGAAGGAGTAGCCTCCGAGCAAGTTGAGACAATAACTGAAGTATTGAATGACAGGAGAATATATCTGTCATTGGTTTCAAAAGTAGAAATACAGAGGGTAAGGTCTTTTTGATACCTAATTATTTACGATCTTTCCTCTGCAATTCTTTGAATGTGCAATTTGCCTCTTGTCAAGTTTATTTTATTGAATGTGCCACTACTGAAAATGTTAAACAAATCGACGATTAACAATAGATTTATAAGCTAGCTAACTATTTTGTATTCTTATATCTAAATAAAAGGCGGATGCAGGAACATAAAATATAAGGAACTACTAATATAAATCCGCTATAGTAGGTGTGATTGGTTTCGATAGCTTTAACCGAAAGGGAATTCGATAGGTTGGGTGTTATTGGATTTTTGGCGTTGGTAGTTATCACTGCTTCTTTGAGGCTGCTTAACGTGTTCAAAAAGTTTTTTTTTTTTTTGACAAAAATAGGTAATCACCTCTTTTTTCTATAAGTTTCTTTTAAAATTTTGTCTTAAAATAAACTAATACGTCCTTCATCGGGGCCAAGATTATTGTGTTAAACGAAAAAAGAGTATTTTGTGTTTGTTCTTGGAGTTGACGACCTTGTCACTGCTAGTGTCTGTCCCTTGGAGTGTTTAGTTGTTTTGGTGCAATGATTTGAAATTTTTTTATTGACCTAGTTATATCGACGGTGCAAGGCTTTGGGTGAATGGTAGGATAGGTTGGAAATGATAAGGTGGGACAAATGCCGAACTTGATGCTATCTATTTAACCGTCATCATTACCATTAGTCCATTACTATTGCATCTCCAATTTTGATGATTTTGTCTCCCATTTTTATCATCATTCAAAATATAATTATTTTAAGGGTTCGATTTTTCTGTCAGATAAGTTGTCTGCAGTTAGTCCAATATGACATCGTTCTGGGGCAGAAATTATGGTGTTTTTGTAATTTTAATTTGTTTCAGGATTATTATAGTCTTTATAATTATAATTTTTTAATGTTTTAATACCAAAACGACGTCGTTTTGAAAGTAAATGCAGATAACTTATCTGTATTAAATGTAGAAATATTTTTCTATTGTTTTAATTATCCAGGCTAGGTTATTCTTTTTATATATGCATCGTACCATTAAATTAGAAATAATATTTAAACTATGCCATAAAATTTTAAACTACCAGTGCGAACCGGTGAAAATCAGCAAGTTTTGGCAAAAACTTGCTCATACGTGTTTAATAAAAAATTTATTTTTTTAATCTAAGAAACTTAAAAATAAGATAAAATTATAATAATAAATCGTTAAATTTTCATCTGGATTTCACTTATATAAGATGTTAAATGTTCAAAGACAAGTCAAGTATAATGCGTTTCTTTCTTTGTTGGATAATGTTATAATTTATTGTTTTTCATTTTAGAATATTTAGAACTGAAATGAACTTTTACATGTATTTGAGTATTTTTGTTGACTTTTTAATATAAAATATAAATTTATATATATTTGACCGGGTTAACTAGTTCAATCAGTGATTCACTTGTTGAACCAATAATCCAATAGTCCAGGTCGATCACCGGGCGGAGTTTAATTACATTGTGTGATGATATTAGGAAAAATACGTAAAATTGACAGAAGTTCGGTCAACAATAGGATGGGTATCTCCAATTGTATGATCACTAAAGTTCTTACACTAAATTCCAACATTCATTAGTGATAGGATTGATAAAAAAATCAATACAAAAGAACAAAAAAAAAACTGACAGAAGTCAAGGAGTGCCTTCCTAAAAAGTGAATCACTGATTGAACTAGTTAAATTAATATGCCAAAAGTAAAAAGTGATGAATCCGAAATATCACAACTTGAATTCGCAAAAACAATCAGGCAGAGCAGAGCCTCTTCCCATGGAAAAATCATCTCTGTGAAGCTTCCATAGGGCTTGCATCAATTCCTTTCCCCTAAGACCCTGCGAGGTTAATTCTGCAAACCCTCTCCTGCTCAAAAATAGAGTTTTGTACAACCCCTTGAAAGCTCTCATTGCTGCAACCATCTTATCCATGTTCCCAAAATATGTAGCTATATAAGAATCACTATTGATTGAAACATAATAATCCAAAGCAGCTTTTGTATTTCCATGCATGCTTGTGAAGTCTTCACCACTGAGAAGGCTAGACTTAGTAACTATGTTAGTGTATGTAGCTGTTAAACCTTCAATTTCCATCAGACCATCTCCAGCAGCCAGGTATATATTCGTGGTTGGTGAGATGGATAGAGCTTCAAGTATTAAAGCTGTCTCATTAGGTGTAAGAGGACACTTCCCCCGTTGTCTCCAAACGCGGGCTAACTCTCCGGTCCATGGTTTTCTATCCACCTGTGCTGCTTCTATGGCTTTGATGGAAGCAGGAGAAAGGCCTGCGTACTCGCATTGGCTGTATGCAACCATGTCAGGCTCAAAACGAAGATGAAGAGACAAAAAGGGTTTAGGTATTGCATCTAGAAGTTTAGAGGCTTTCATTTCCAGGGATCTTGTGAGACGTAATGCCTTGTAACAAGCTTGACAGAGAGCAGCTTTTGCATACAAAGGGTATCTGCAAAGTTAGAAGAAAATAGAAAAACTACCCAACTCAGTTACAACTGTGAATGGGAAAAAAAAACAATTTGGGCGGGGAATCGGGTGAACAAATATTGTCTTGATAGCCCTCACTTTCTTCAGCAATTTATTCTTTCTGGATGTTTAATTAAAATCGTTCTATTTTGTTCTCTATTTTAAGCTATTAGGCTTCATGAGGACTGAACTTGCTTGCATTGTCATTAGTCACATGAGACATCAAATATTATGACTCAATCGAATTATTCTTGCCAGTATTAAACAGGGAAATATCATATATAAGCAGCAGACCATACTTTTGGGAGAAGCTCATAGCCACAATAGATACTAAAAAACATTGTTGACGATTTTGATAATGGATGATGACAAAGCTATCGGGAATAAACTTTTACTTAGACTAAAATGCTTAGAATTTATCCATTATAAGGATTGGCAAAATAAAGTGAAATCCCCCAATCAAAATATGGGGAAAGAAAAAAAAAAGCATATATGGGAGCAAAACCTCATTCCCCATGAAATTGTTTGAATCAACAATATCCATGGTGTTTATATTTTAAAGAAACTGATTTCTGGCAAGAACTAAAAATGAGTGAGTTATCACGCAGTAGAAGATATAAGGGAGATACATAATCATACCTGTCCCTTCTTTGGGACATTGCTGGTGTGATTGAAATATATCTGTGTTTCAACAGATTTGGAAGAACACTTTCAACGTAATCAAATTGGCCTTTCCGTTTGCTACAGTCCACTTGAACAGGTTCTTTTGATGCAATCTCTGGTGGTAACTTTTTGACGACTTTAACAAAGCCATTCATATGTTGAATGAAGTAGTCCACATCAAATACATCTGCAAAACCGCTGTAATGAACAAAGTATCCAGAGGTCCTTTCAGCAGGATTAAGATAAGTGTAATATTGTAATATAAATAAATATAATTTACAATAAAAAATTGCAAATTAGAACAATTCCACAGAAGAGAAATTGCCTTGTTTCATTCCAATACGAAGCTACTTCAAACTTTGGCAGGACAAGGGTTGCATTTAACAGTCGAGCAATGCCCACACCATCACAGAACTGCAACCATTGTAGATTTTATTTCAATTTTAAGCAAGCAATTAAAGAGTGTCGAACATTTTCTAAGGATCTGGAGTTGAAATTCAAGAGTTTTCCTCAAGCACTCACATCTCTTCGCATCTGATTGAGGCCCCCATAGCAATCCACTCTGATATATCCATTGGTTTCTAATGGTAGAGCTGCACCATTTCAAGAATAAAAAACAAAAACGAAAGCAATTGTCTGCAATGAAAGCCAATCAAGGTTGATTCAGAAAATAAAAAGCCAATCAGCACCCCCCACCCTCAACCAACTTAACCATATCCATTGCAAATTACATTAGCAAAATTCACAATTCTTGAGTAGCACATCCAAGTTCCAATAACAATGAAAAGCCAAGCCTATGTCCTTAATTCCAATTATTTAAATACAAGTATAGCTATTCCAAGTAATTTCCAAAAGTTTAATCACCATGCACAATTATTGCTATCCCTATGAGACTAACACTATTTTAGGAACGAAAAAATCAAGCTGGAACTTATTTTCACTGAATGAATCTAGTAATCACAAAGTTCATTCAAAATAACAAATATTTAACCTCCAAAGCTGAGAGGTAGTGGGAACAAATATCATTAATTAAGCAAAAAACATACATGTTTGATGCCCTTGTAGCCACCAATTGCAAGGTTTCCATTCCACGAGTCTCCGAACACTCCATATATCCACCTCCCCTCTGCACACCAACAATTCATAGATCAGTAACCATACAAAAATTGTTGCTACCCAAGATGCTAAAGAAACATGCCCAGTTCCCAAGTTCAAAACTTTTTTGCAGATTCAATCCAAAAAGAAAAGAAAAACAGAGGGAAACGAAATCGTGTAAACATACAGTGAGGGTTCCGCAGAAATCCGATTTTGGGTGAAAAAGGAAGGAGGCGATAGCAAAGCCAAAAGGAGAAGGATAAAAAGCGAGACGACAAGAATACTGAATAAGGGTTTCACAGAGAAAACGACCATTTGATTTCACAGAACTGGTGAAGAAGATGATCTCTCTCTCTCTCTCTCTCTCTCTGATTGTGATGAGGATGCTAATAGAGTGAAAATGTGACACATACATTTATTATAGTTACCCCAAAAAAAATTTATTATCTTTACAAGTAATTTAATCATAAAATTTTTGTCACTTAAATGGTTATAATTTATTAAAATTATTGGGTCATTTTTATTAATTAATTATTAATTTTTAATAAATTCAATAAATTATAATCGTTAAATTTAAAAAAAATTAACGGTGATTAGATTAATTATAAATATGCTAATTTTTTTTGATGATAAGTATACCTGTCGCATATACATTTTGAATCTTCTATTTATTTATTTATTTTGTTTTCAAATAAAGGGCAACTCTTTTTCTGACTAGAAAATTTGTGCTATTTTTTTTTTTCAGTCGATTTCAATAAAATTTAATTGTTGATAAACTCTTTCTGTTATAATTATTGCTTGAGAATAAATGGTTTCCTATAACAATGATTAATCAATCAGTTTTGACATAAACACCCTTTAATCTAGCAAAATTTTGTCATAAATATAATTGATTTGTTCTGACAGCATTGCATGATTACTATTTTTTTTAAGAAGTTTTTATATGCTCTCGAGAAAAAAAAATTAGATCTCAACCATTAAATTTACATAAATTGATTAAATTCTATTAATGGTTATGATTTTTTTTAAAATTCACCGATAATGATTCTCCTTATAGGAGGAAAAATATATGCACTATAAAAATGTAAGTTTTTCTTTTCTTAACTACAGAGAATGTTTATTATTAATATTTCATTAATACATTCAACACTACATTGATTTTTTATTTGTAAACAATATTAAATTATCTTTAAAAAAATATAGAATTTGATTAATACGTGGCCATAGGTCATAAATTAAAAAATCAGACAAAACCAGTTTAGTGAGTCTGATATGATTTGTTCAAAAACAATTTCTTCAAATGGAAAAATCTAAAAAGTCTTTAGACGTATCACAGAAAACGAAAACCTTTTGCTATCCCTATTCACACACCCTCGGTCAATGCAGCAATTGTGATTACGAGTGAAGGGTCCTAGGCACTTGCTCTAATTTCTCGTAGTAATGTTACATTAAAATGTCACTGAGAAGGGAAATATATTCTTACCGGCAAGATTCATATCGAGCTATTAAAAGGAAATTTTATAGAAGCGAAGGCTTTGTACTTAGTCACCCACCCCTATCCAATTAGCAATGTTGGTGTTCAGTAAATATATATAAAACCGTTGATATTGTTTGCCATCCCAAAACTGGTTCAAAATATCAGAATGAAATGTGCCAATGCATCCTCTTCTATGCAACAATGAACAAACGGAAAGCCTCTTTTTATAAGGAAAAGAAATGAAGGAATTAAGTAGTTCAACTTTGCAAGTCAGTCTATAATGAATTCTATGCTTCTCCGCTACCTCCTAACAACAAAACTGCAATTAAATAGTACATATCTTCACTCGATTCAGGATTAATTTTAATGAACTTCATGCGGTGTGCTCTTCAACATCTCCATTTTCAACATCTTCAGCAGCGGCGGCAGCAGCCATCAACTCATCAAAGTTTGCAGTCTTCCCAAGTAATATTTCAATCTAAAACGCGATTTATCACATTTAGAACTTACAATCAAAGTCATAAAGCAAAACCCAAAGCCATGGTTTGGAACGATTAATACATAACACATTCTACAGTTTTCAAGAGTTGTGTTTCCACCCTTACCTTGGCCTTTTGGACAGGTCTGCCTCTAGAATCATCCTTTATGTCGACAGTTGATGTCATAATTTCTGCATAAAGATTCCATCATGAATCAAATCTGATTCTTCAATCATTTGAGTACCAGAAGAGAGACAAGAAAGGTAGACATTTCCCTCAAAAAGAGAAAATAGTAACTTACTCTTTTCAACAGCAAGCCCATTATTTTTCAAAATTTCAGCAACAGTAACCACCGTGGCAATAGCTGCGACAATAAAATAAAATAAAAAAACATAAATAGGAAAAACATAACCGATGAAAGATGTTAGCAATAAAACCACAAAGGAATAACTCAATATAAAAATCATGAAGTGTCCGGGCGGATTCTTCTTCCTCATTTTAGTTTTGAACCCAAGATTAAAACTATAAACAGGGTTTTAAATTCGAAGGACCCTAGGTAGTAGAACTTCATGCCAGTCAGTAGTCAAAGACATGGCTTAAAGTAAAGTCCAAAATAAAGTGTGGTTCAACATATAGTTAACATATTTCATCTTATCTCTAGAGCAGATTTTCCAAGTTTATGTTGTGATCACTAGCAAAAAGATGCTATGTGTCAGCATATGCTACCTTTAGCTTATTTGAGTGTTTGAAAGGAAGCATGGAGGGGAGATCTGCATCCAGCATTATTAGTGAATTTGAAACTGGGCATAAAAGGGAATAGGCCGCAACTACTTACACAAAACCCTTCTTTGAACAGAATTAAGGAGGAATGAAACGGGTAATGCATCCAACAAATTAATAATGTCCATATTCAGAGTCGAATTTCATTCCTTTCATTTTCTCCGTTCTCAATATGTTCCCACTTCCCATACAAACAAAAATGGCAATGAGCCAACAAGTTATTTAAAAGTCTCTTTCTAAAGTCTTTCTTACAGAATCAAACACAAAAATTGCCTTTTCAAGGCATAAGTTATATTATTTATCCTCAAACCTCGATTTCTCTAATACATTTAACAGTAGCAGAATAACAAAGTTTCTTCTTGGGAAGCATAGTAGATCCTAATAGGCTAATACAATAAGAGTACACCTAGCTTTACTCTGCCCGTGTTCAGGTCAGACTCAGACATAGTCACAGAGGTAGACAACGAAACCTAAACAACACTTGAACTACCTGTTCTACCTGCTATGCCCTTGAAACATTTACATAGTCTGCCTATAAGAAAATATTGTTACGTAGACTGATATGCAACATTGTTCTCCCAAAAGTAACATCTACAATCTGCTAAAGTTTTTATGTAAACCATTTTTCAGTTTGTCATACTTCTTAAAAGTGATCAATGTAATAATAGATAGCTCAAAAAGACTCAAACCAATTGAAAAGAAAAGTCCACATTAAAAAAATTGCAAAAAATGGGATTTAGTTCAAAGATTTGATACCCATTCCTAGTGCTGAGAGCTCAACCTCGTTATGCTGTTGCATATACCTCTGCAAAGAAATAAATAAGGGTTAAAAAATTTAACAAAACCCTTCATATCCGCAACAATTAAACATGACCCAGAACTGAACACGTTCAAAAGTTTCAAAATTTAAAATCGAAAACGAAAAATCATTCTTAGGATTACCTTGGCGAGATTAACGTAGAAGAAGAGGGGCTTTTTAGTGTTGGAAACCTGAATGCGATTCTTCTTATAAGAATCGGAGATGTTGATGTTGTTCACTCCCTCCGTGATTGCTTCCATTGCTTTGTGACTCTGAAGGTAACAGATACTACACAAAATAGAAACCCTAATCGATGAAATGTTCCCCAAATCCAATTCTTCTTCTGTTGCGTTCTGATGAAAAAGGCCAAAAGGGATTGGGCCATGCCCATGGATTTTCCTGGACCGTATTGGGCCCTTTTCGTTTTAGCAATAATTTTAAAAACTAAATTATTTTATAACTTCAAGATGCGTGAGTGTGTTTTTTGTTTTAGAGCTATATCTCAAGTGAAAATAATGGGAGTTTCGAAATTATCATTTGAAAAAAAAAAGTGAAGATTTCTTAATATATTTCTTAAATTACTGGAGACAAATTTTCTCATGCGTAGGTCCCACCCTTAATTTATGTGTACATGATATAAAATTATCTCGTGTAACATGAGAAATATATTTCTCTTTCTTAATATGGAGAATATATTGATGATTTATTTCTTTCTTCTTCTTTTATCATGTCTTCATATAAAAATATGCATTATATAGGAATCTATATGTTTAGTTTATTGTAGAATAAATTAACAAAAATTGACACATTATTATTATTATTACTATTATTATATGATAAATATTTTTTTTTTTATAAATTTCAATACTACAAAAATGTTTTGCAGTAAAAAAAAACAGAAAAATATTTTTGCAGTTAATGCAGATAAGTTATCTGCATTTACTTCCAAAACGACGTCGTTTTGGGATTGAAAGATTAGAAATTATAATTATAAAGACTATAATAATCTTGAAATAAATTAAAATTACAAAACACCATGATTTTTGTCCCAAAATGACGTCGTATTGAACTTACTGCAGATGACTTATCTGCAATAACTGCAGAAAAAACGAACCCAAAAATAAATATGTATACATTTTTTTTAAATACTTTAATAATCGGTTTAACAAAAGTCTACCATTAAGGTACATTTTGAGATATGTTCAAAGGAATTTTTTTAAGGAGGGAGAGGGAGCAAGAAAATAAGAAAGGGGACAGAATTTGCATTCATAATTCTAACAATTAATTGTTTATAAAAGATTTTCTCTCACATAGGTTCGAATACTTGAAAATAATTATCTGCGAAGAAATTGTTGATGGTCACTTCAACACTCCATCACATAAATTTGGTGATAATGACGGATTAACAAGAAAAACAAAAACAGTGATGATAGTATTTATCCCAAGGTTCTTAATATGGTATCAGAGTCTCGTCGTCCCCTACTTTCTCTCGTGGCGTTTCTTAGCACATGTATGTTGGGCCTGTTGCATTGTCCACTCTTCAAGCCCAATGGGCTCTCGTGTGAGGGGGTGTGTTGAGATATATAGTCTCACATTGGTTGTATGTGCAACTAATATGGAGTTTATAAGGTCTTGGGCACGCCCACCCTTTGAGCTAGCTTTTGGGGTGGTGTATCCCAAGGTTCTTAACAGTATTAATTATATGAATATGAATACCTGTGTATATCACCACCCCATTCCTTGTTACTTGAAAATTCAATGCATCTGCGGACATAGCTGGTTCGCAAATATTCTCTACATCAAAGTCACATTTCTTGTCACAAAAAGAAAATAATTTATCTCTTACGCAATACAACAAAGCAAACCCATGACCTTTTTAAAAAAAGAAAAAGAAAAAGTATACAATATAACAAAACAAATGAATAAGTGAAATAACGTATGCGACAGTGACTTCTAGTTCTGGACTTACTTAACTAAGACCTTCATGTCATAACGTAACTGAAATTGGACAAGCACATAATTTTGATCTTGCTACTTGTTTTGATAAGAAATCTCTGAAATTGTCCGATATGGCACTAGTAGAAACACATGCCCCACTGGCTTTTTAGATTTTTCTATTACTATACGTAATAGGTTATTAATTTAGCTCTCAAGTTATTTATAATTTGCTCCATCATAAGCTTTATTAGATAATTTGTGGTATTAAGTTATTTCATATAAATAATAGATACAAATTCAATAATAAAAAATAATACTAACTTTTGCTCCACTCGAGTAGTCACTATGCTGTCTCTCCCAATTCTCAAATATCGTATTTGTTATTCCTATTATTTAAAAATTTCTGAGTCTGTGACAGAATGATAGTGGTAGCTGATGACCAACAGCTTTAAACTTTATTCAACTTCGTTTGCAAGTGGAAAACATCGATGTGAGATTTGATGTCCATCAAGTTGCCACTTTACGTGTATCATATATATGCAATGGTTGTATCCAATATATATATATATATATATATATATATATATATGGGTCAGGATCATTTTACACCAGTGTAAGTTACACTCTCAATCTTGTCCGTTGATCCCACTTATATCTAAGGGCTCTAATTTTTTAATAATGTGAGCCATTGGATACAAGTGGATCAATGGTCAAGATCGAGTGTAAGACTTCTAACTCTTACACCGGTGTAAGAATATCATGCCCCTATATATATATATATATATATATATATATGTATGTTATGTTTATCTTATTTTATATGAGATAAACAATTACACATACAAAAAGATTGGATCTCATCACTCTTTTTTCTTTCTCCTCTTATATGTGGGTTTCACTTATAATTTTATTTCTACAACATGAAGTAACTATTTTCCTATAATATAAGAAAAATATTTCCATATATATATATATATATATATATATATATATATATATATATATATATATATATATATATATATATATCACAAGAAAATATAGCGTCACGTTATCTTATTCCTAAAGGTTGCTATACTTTCAAATAATTTTTTTTAACACCAATATAACAATGTACTGTTAAAAATATGATATAATAAAATATCCTATATATAGGTTAAGTGTTTCTCCAGAAAAACTTAACTTTTCCAATACTCAAAAAAGAGGAGAGAGAAAAGAGGTAGAGATTGTAGAAACAAAATCATGTGAAATCCATCTAAAAAAAATTTGTGTGCAGGCAATGGCAGAGCCACTTGGTGGTTAGTTGGTGCTTTGAAACCAGCTAATTTTTAAAATATTATAAATTTTTAAAAAAAATTATATATAACTTTAGTATTGGTTAAGTTTTTAAAAATGATAAATATTGACACTAACTAAATTTTGCTAATTGAGTTTTTTGGCATTAATTTTTATCATGGCTCCACCACTGAGTACAGAAAGGAAGAATAATTCTCCAATAATATGACAATATATGGGGTTAATGTTCTCCAACACACATAAAAGTGTGTAGGCTCAATGTGAGACCATTTAAAGGGTAAAAAGAAAAGAAAGAAAAAAATAAGTCCAACACACTTTTGTATGTGTATAGAAGATAAAATTTATCCTACAAAAACATTTATATATATATATATATATATATATATATATATATATATATATATATATATATTATATGTATAGATAAAGAAAATTTTCTAAATTATTCTATACAATTAAAATAATTATTTATTGATTTTTAGAAAGATTAGATATTATATTAAAAAAAACATGAGTTTATCATCATCTTTTTATTGTTTTCGGTATAGAGTTTATCATCATCTTTAATTCTAAAGCACAAATCCACCGCTGCCACAGGGTTTCCTCTTTCAGTCCTTTCCGTCTTTAAGATGAGATTACGTTCTAAATTTCTTTTCTACACTTATAAAATTAGGCATACTGATCCATCAAATTTTAAAGACTCGAAACTTTTAATTTTTTTTAATAAAATAAACTTTGTAGAAAACTTAATTCTATCATTGGGGAAGTCTAATACAAAATTATTAAATTCTTTCTCACTTTATGACTTTAGTTATTAGGTGAAATTAATAATTATTTAATATTATATAAAACAGAAAAATATTTCTGCAGTTACTGCAGATAAGTTATATCTGCATTTACTCCCCAAATAACGTCGTTTTGGAATTGAAAGATTAAAAATTATAATTATAAAGACTATAATAACTCTAAAATAAATTAAAATTACAAATACACTATTATTTCCGTCCCAAAATGATGTCATATTGGGCTTACTGCAGATAACTTATCTGCAATAACTGCAGAAAAAATATCCGTATATAAAAATTCACGAATAAATGATCATTAATTCGTTCTTTACGGGCTTCCCTTATGTATAATATATGAAGCACCGACACTTTAAAAATCCTGACGAGTCGTGTCTGACACTCTAACACGTGTTATAGAAATTCAGAAAAAGATTCAAAGGTTGTGTTGCGTTGAGTTTTTAGTTTTAACTATTAAATTCGTTGAATTTCGATTACCATTTTATTGAGTTTAATATAAATATTTGGAATATCTTATGTTTCTTTGCAAAATTGATGAATATTATAAGTTTAGTTTCATTTTTTTGTTAAAATATTGAATATTAAATATAATATATGTTGGGAAAACTCGGTTCCCTCAAGCTCGGCTCAGGGGCCTTTGTGCGGAAGTCAATCAACAAGATCCTGATCTCGGATCTCGGCAATACCTCGGCCTGAACTTCACCAGGTCAGGCAGCGCAGCGGAAAATCAAAACGAAAACACAAGAGAGAGAAGAAGAACACAACCAGATTTAACGTGGGAAAATCTTCTCCTATGAAGAAGTAAAAAACCCATGGGACCTAGTCCAGATCAGAAATTCACTATGAAAATAATGGTTACAACGAATCAAATACACCAATGTGGTGGTTAACTCAACCTCTCCAACAATGGTGATAATCAAACTACCCTAGAGATGTTTCACTCAAACTCTTTCTAGAGATCTCTCAAATGCAAAGTATAAAGCTTTTGCTCAAACAATCAAATAATTCTCTCAAATTTGTTCTCTCAAATCTGACTTAGCCTCCACCCTCAACTAATGAGTAGGAGAAATATTAAATCTTATATATATATAAATAATAACAGGCTGCGTGGTATACATCGTTGTCTTTGATGTGTACGTATCATATTGCATTAAGCAACATGACTTTCTCATGTTATCATGATCATACGCTTTTAAAATGAAAATGACAACCAAGTTAATTACTTTATAAGTACAAACTATGAACTATCTCGAAAGAGTTCAATAATATACTATATGTGATAAA